CCATTAGACAATGATACGAGACGTACAGTATCTAAATGGAATTTGTTTTCATTCGAAAATAAAATACCGTGTTAACAGTTTTTCCTCAATTATCATGAATAATTTAGATTTTTCCTCGATTTAAGCAACATAGCGTCAAATTTTACTTATATTTATTACACACTATGCAGATTTATTAAATCACTAGAAACAAACTGTTATTCTGAATTTGAGTGGGTTTTTTGGAATTGTGAAGAGGAAAATATATTTCAAGATACAAAATAAAGGATTACGATGTTTAATTTTGTCTAGGAAGTTTGGAAAGAATTTGAGATAACCTAAATTACTAACTTTTGTTAGCACGTAGAAATTCCTTAAGTAGTTCTTATTCTCCTTCAGCACAAGTCGGATAAAAAGGTAAAAGTCCTTCCTAGATAATAAGAGGTTGGGTTATCCATGATTTAATTAAAATCTGGTTGGTTAAACGGATTTTCCAGAGGTATAAAGGTGGTTTTAACCTGCTTCTAAGTTACCCGACCTAAGCAACAGTGTGGTTGTAGTCCAGTTAAGATGAAGGAACATGTTTCAATGTTATCATTTATTCAACAAACACCACACTTCCATACGTCAATTGCTTAATTACTCATACACTTGGCTTGACTCACAGCACACAAAGCCCTGTATGACTGTCCCACGTGCTCTCTCTGTTTTATCAAAATCGCAAACAATCAACATTAGATAAGTAATACGTGCCGCCTCGCCGTGACCCGTGCAAGGTCGCCGTGCAACCTTCACTACACGCGTGCCGAACGTGCGGCAGCGGCGTGCGGCGTGCCGCGTAGTGTACAGTGGCGTCCATCCGTCTCGGAGGACCAACTTTTCGCGAGTGTCAATGTAACGTGCTTACCTAGGTTTGTTAACTGGTTTAGGTGTATGTTTTAGTCATTTGAGTAGGGTTCGTTCATTTTGGGGTATGGATTTTAGGGGGTTCTGGGGACAACGTTCGGGGGGTTGGGGGGGGGGTCAATTTAAGTGCTTGGGAGTTTTAAGGTTTTTAGGTCACGAGTTTGTAGTCTAAAAACAGGTTATATAGTCTGTACAATGGAACCTGTTTCCTGAATCAGGACTACCTGGAGACTGGCCAATGGTTTAAGGCCCGGGTCAGTCCCAGGTAGACAAAGGGTCATGATACAGGTTCCATCATACACTATGGGGTTTCGTTGAAATAATTCATTACCATATGGTTGGATGTTGATTTCCAATGTGTAATGCTGTCTCGATACAGTATTCATTAATTTTCATAATTTATGGCTAACAATTCCTTTCGGTCCAAAAAAAATTACTAAAACAAGAAAAGCGATCACAAGTTTTACAACGTTTGATAATCGTGTTGGTGGTTAATAATTTACCTTGTAGTCGTTATCAAGTATCAAATTTACGGTAGAAAAACGATTGAAAATCACGTTGAAAATTATTTTTCATTACCCTACGTGCAATATCATTCATTCACTGTAAGAACTACACGATTTTGAATTCGCACTTGTAAACTGCGCCGATATTATTCCCAGTTTCAATAACATTTTCCGCACCCACACATCTTTACGACTCTCCGCCAGTTCTGGAGCGGTAACCCCAGCAATAACATCATCAAACCCCAGGTCGCATCTAGAGTCAACATCCTCCACATCTCTGCTGGGCACGTACGTCTCCTCGCTGGTTTATTAGGTCCGCGATCGCTACAGCTGTGTAGCCGCGGAGGATTGTTTTCCCGATGACTTTCAGCTAATGGAGTTGTTGACCTTTTGCGAATATACCCGGAAACCCGCCAAAATATTAACTGGATTTTCGTGGTCTTTGTCTGTTTTTGATCGTTCAATTTTTTTAAAAATTTATTTTTAAAATAGTTTTTTTAGTTTTAAATTAGTTTTTTTAGAAATACTGCAGAAGCGTATTTCGTAACAGTCTAAACTTGTGTGTCTTTGTCTTTTCGTAATTATTTATTGATTATTTTTTAAGTTTAATCTGGATTATTATCATCCTTCGTACAGTTGCAATCGGTAGGGGTTTTATAATGATTTTCGGTGAAATAGGTAATTAAAATTGCTAAATCTTCAATTATTTGAGAATACGTAAATTCCTGATGATGACACCGCCGAAACCAAATTATCTAAAAAGTCTAGATTCTATTGTCTTCCATTCATGATGTTGTGAGGTCTTCCTTGGTAAAATTGTAATCGTTCGGTATTTGATCATGGTTCTCGACCAAAATAGGTAATATAAATAATATTATTGTGTTCAGGCATTTGACTTCGGGATAGCCATCAAGGCAGAGTTAATCGACACAGTCTATAGTATTGATTGATAGATTTCAATTAAGTTTTTTTTCTAGACTGTAATAGTGCAGATGATTCTCGCTGATATTTAAGCATTCTTAGTTTTAAAAGTTTGAAAATGTATGCTTACTAAGTCGGATTAATGCGAGGAAAAAAATTACGTAGAAAGAAACGGAGTCCACCAATGGGCGTTTAAAAATAGCTTCATGCTAACAAATTTAGTGAAATTACAAGAAATAATTAATTAGGGTAAAAACATTATATATTTACCGGACGAAAACATACACCAGAATCGTCTTGATGTGTAAGGATGATTAATTTATCAGGGGTTTTAGCATTAAAGTTTTAGTGTCGTAGGATTCATGTTTTCGTTTTTCAGGGTTTCCACGTCGAAATTCTCCGACATAACATCTTCTATTAGTATGTTTATATTTTAAACTTGAACTTTTTAATTGGTCACTCTTTTATTTCGAACTGGTAAATCTGATGTTCAATACCCTGCTACTTCCTGTCTTGATAAGGGCGAGTCACTGATAATGTTAAAGCCTTGTAGATTTCTCAGGACCTACAGTTATCCTTCTGACTTCACCATCTATAACATCAGAGGTAATTTTCATAAAATACTTCTACATTATAAAAATATTCTTGAAAGAAGCAAAAATATAACGTAACAGTCTAAACTTTTGTGTCTTTGTCTTTTCGTAATTATTTATAGATTATTTTTCAATTTTAATCTGGATTATTATTCTCATCCTACAATTGCAATCAGTAGGGTTTTTATAATGATTTTCGGTAAAATAGGTAATTAAAATCGCTAAATATTCAATTATTTGAGAATACGTACTATTCGTGATGATTTACCGCCGAAACCAAATGATCCAAAAAGTCTATTTCGATTCACAATTGTGAGATCTTCCTCGGTAAAATTACAATCATCCGGTATTTTATCATGGTTATAGACGAAATAGATAATATAAATATTATTGTATTCAGGACTTTGACTTCGGGATATCCATCAAGGCAGATTTAATCGACACAGTCTATAGTATTGATTGATAGATTTAAATTAAGTTTTTTTCTAGACTTCAATAGTGCAGATGATTCTCGTTGATATTTAAGCATTCTTAGTTTTAAATGTTTGACAATTTATAATGACTTAAGTTGGGATTAATGCGAAAAGAATACAAACAAATAATCAAAAAAACGCCCTCTAGATGAAGTAGACCGAAACGGACGTCCGCAAATGGGAGTTTAAAAATAGCTTCATGTGTTAACAAATTTAGTGAAATTACAAGAAATAATTGGTAATGGTAAAAACATTTTATATTTACCGGAGGAAAAACATACGCCAAAATCGTCTTGAATTGTAAGGATGATTACTGTATTAGGGGTTTTAGCATTAAAGTTTTAGTGTCGTAGGATTCATGTTTTCGTTTTTCAGGGTTACGTCCAAATTCACCGACATAACATCTTCTATTAGTATGTTTATATTTTAAACTTGAACTTTTTAATTTGTCACTATTTTATTTCGAACTGGTAAATCAGATGTTCAATGCCCTGCTACTTCCTGTCTTGATAAGGGCGAGTCACTGATAATGTTAAAGCCTTGTAGATTTCTCAGGACCTACAGTTATCCTTCTGACTTCACCATCTATAACATCAGAGGTAATTTTCATAAAATACTTCTACATTATCAAAATATTCTTGAAATTTAAATGCACAACATATTTAATTTGAATAGTTGGAATTTGATTTATTTATTAATAACAAGTTTACTTTACATTCTTTTGATTAAATCTATCTATAGTCGATAAAATATTTGTTTGTAGTGGGACTAGATTATATTAATTTCAATTAGCATTATAATTGTCCATGCAATCTGCAATTAGTCTTCTTGTGATTTTGTTACTTCTACATCCATAATTTTTTAATAGGTTTATGAGTGTATTTTTATGGTTTCTAGTTTTCGATCTTGATTTTAGGCAGTAATAATTTTACTAAGAGATCCTAAGAAACAAAGCGAAAGTAATTGATTAAGTGAACAATTAATTTTACTAGTTATTGGTATTTCTAGTCAAAAGATTTGCTGGACTTCTACAATTATTGTATTTTTCATTACATTAACATAATAAATAGATGGACCAATAACATTATTGTACGGTGTTTTTAAAGATGATTATTGCGGGGTGATCGTAACTTAAGGTTAGGTTTTCTCTAAATTAGCTAATTTAATAACTAAGTTAATTTAGATAACCTAACCTAACATTGCATGGACAGAAGTTCTCACACCCCCAATTCATCTTGCGATAGCGATTATATTCCAATTAAAACTATACAAAACCCTCTTTGGTGAACTGAACAAGGATCGACTGCGACCGATAGTCCATTTCCCTGTTCAAAGATCTATAATCGATTTTGTATTATATTGTTGGTTTTTACCGCGATTTACATGTTCCATCTTTTGAAATTACCGCGATTTCTACGTCTTATCGTTAATACATCGTTGTAAATTGATAGTTTTGACCACGACTTCTATGTCTCATCATTGACATTGTTGTACATTGTTAGTTTTTACAGTGATTTCCATGTTCTATCGTTGATTTTGTTGTATATTGTTAGTTTTGATCGACTTGTTTTATTTTCTACCGTTAACTTTGTTGTATATTGTTAGTTTCGTCTTTGTTCCAGCGGAATGTACCCTTGCAGCAGCGCTGGCTACAGCAACCCCTCACTACAGTTGCAGTCTTCCTCGTACTTCCAGGGTTCGAGTCCTTCCAGCCCGCAGACTATGTGGAATCCTCAGCAACCTGGTGAGTCTAAAAGTAATTTATAAGTAGAATTTAACGTGTCTAAGGCGACTCTTTAACAATAGGCAATAGAAATGTGTGACTAGTACCGAATTTCATAACTGTTGCATATAGCCTATTCCTGCAGATTTCCAGAAAGGCACCGGACAGTATTTTTTATGCAGATTTTTAACTTTGAAGGCCGTAAGCTTTTCGGTTCCTTTAAGATACAAAAATAGGAGGTGAAAACGCTACTGTGTAAACTTACAGGCTTGTAGATTTATTGGCATGTACACGTAGTTTAGACGTATTGACGTATAGTTTAGACGTACATACGTGTAGAGAAGTAGAAGCAAGAGCCACAGCAGTAGCAGGTACTTGCACTAGGCACTGTTTGTTAATGGGCTTAACAAATGACGCTTTAATGGCGTGTGTGCGCTCACGTTCTTCCACACTCCACCGCCTTAAAAACTCACAACTCGACACAACGGTGCACGGAGTGCCACAAGGCTCTCTGCTTGGACCGATGTTGTTTGCAGAATATTACATGTTCTATTACTGAAAACTGTAACACCTCCTTATGTTATCTTCTAAAAGAAGAATTATTCGGATGTCCAAATGACATATCTTCTAATCTAATTTCGGACGGATTCATTTAAATACGAATATTGTTTAGTCCATCGTAAATTAAGGCAGAGTTTCGATCGCATTCTCAATACCTTTGCAAGATTCCTTTGACATGGTACAATTAGTGATTTATCAATTTATCAAGGTGAAATAAGTATTAGACAAACATACACCTGATGTTGGTCAACTATTGTATTCCATAAAACGAATGATATTACTAAAATCTGTCCTGAGAAAATGACGATGATATTAACAAACTTTACATAAAATAACAGAAACCTACTTGCAGAGGGTAAACGTCAAAAGTAGTGGCTCTTCTTGAATAATCTCGGAACATCTGGTTAAAACTTTCGCAAATGAAAGATTCTTGGATCAGTTTTCGAAATGTTCCCGACCTAACCTTATCTTTGAGGCACATCCTTCAAGCAATACCTACTGACCCCTGACATAAGGTGTTTTCTCTATTCCAGGAGCAGAGGAGTATTCTCCTCCGGCCAAGTACCCTCCCAACTCCGCCGCGTCGTCCTCCCTGCCTGCCTTCAAGACGCATAGGTACACTCCCTACGGTATAACAGGACGTCCCACGACCTCCTACCCGGCCCGCACCCCTGCCTACCTGACCAGTGCCCCCAGCGAGTCCTGGACCCCTCAGTACAGCGGATCTCCTGATGGTCAATATGGAAGCAGCGCACCTTCTCGTCCTACATTGCCCCCTCATGGCTTCAGTGCTGCTTCCCAGCTCAGTGCGAGTAAGTAGTTTATTCTTATTTATTACATAGTTAATTAATTTTTTTCCACCTTTACATCCTACGCTAGCCCAGAACAGTCTTCACACAATGGATTTATCTTTCACATGGATAATGGGTGGATATCAATTTTTTAGCGGTATTTAAACCAGGGACTTCAGGGGTCAACTCCCTAAAGCTAGAGTGGATCGCACGAAAATTGTAACAAAATTGTCATAAGAATTTAATATAATATAGAAATTTGGCAACATTGGATAACCTTTCATCAGATTTTCATGCTGTCCACCCTGGTATTCATGCATGCATGACTTCTCTGCAGTCTGTGTTGATGAAACGTATGATATTTTCTTGTTTCTGTGTATTTCAAGGTTGTCTGAATATGTCAAGAGTTTGGAGTGTTGAGAAATTTTGTAGGTGCAACGTTCTAGGCTTTGGTTTAGATTCATTCCTGTTAAATGCTTTACAAACGTAGGCTAATGCCTTTTTGATAGAATTTTAGCATTTCAAATAACCAAGAGTGCATATTTGTGCATGGTCCTCAATTTAGGAAAGAGAGAAGAAATTGTCAAATATTGAACTATGACCTCATTTATACGTGTGATCTTTGATTGGAAATTAAACAACATTTGGGTCTTTTTACTTGACATTCTTGCGAAATACCTCACTTCTCCGCTATTCCACCCCCTAGCCGAGTGGTCAGACTACACGCCGACACCTGCGACGCATAAACGTCCCCGTGGCTGCTATATAGCTATCATGCGCTCGTAACTGTCTAGAAGGAATCCGTGGTCACCCTCCCCCTCGGAAACCTACCCTGGATTTATGAGTTTGTTTAGGCTCGGCCCTCACTCATTTTTGATATCGCCTTGTTTGTAACCTTTTTACAACCCCTGATGGCCTATTTGTTGCTCTGCACGTGGCAATGTTGGCTAAACATGAGAACTCTCAAGGGTAAATCGAAAGTAAACCCTAAAATTGTAAAAACTTGTACAGGAGTTTTAACTGATAATATCGTTATTTCCGTTCAAAGTGATCTAACTACAGTACTACGTATCGTAAAATCCAAACGGTTTATAATTTTACACGAAAATTATGACCTTATGCTCAAAATAAACTTACGCATGTTAATGATGTGAAATAAGCACATACAAACACTGATTCGTGACATAACCGTGAACTCACCCGACGTAAAAGTTTGGAAGATTGTATCGCAAATCATGTAATTAATTTATTTCTCACCTTCACTTCCACACAGGCTCTAGTCTGGCACCGTTTTACACATCACTTCAGTCTAAAACTAGAAAGGTTTCGGTATTGTCTCTTGGATAAATCTCTCTTTGGATCATTGGTGATTGGTGGGATTTTAACTCAGTACCTCGAGATCCGAAGTACCCCGCTACCACTAGACTTGCTCTTTCCCCTTCAACCATTTTGAGGTACGACACTAGTCAGCACTTTATGTCAATGGACGATAAAAAGAAGGAACATTTTGCAACAACGATTTGTTACAAGTTCTGGTGGAATCGTCATCCTTGACATGTAGGGAACGGTCGCAAGGGTGGTTATTCAAGGGTGGTTGAGGGTGAAAGTGGTTTTGAAGGTGAAGGTGAAGTTGAAGGTGTCACCGGAAGGCAGTAAAGGTGAATGACCTCAGATGATGGAGAACCTGTCAACAGCTTAATGTCTTATTGACGCACCTGAGGACAACCACCTCCGGGACAGCCGCCACAACGCCCTCCTTTGTACCTAAAAAGGGATAAAATCCCGGTGGCTACATCCCTGTCTGGGGAGGTTCCTGTCTTAAGAGGTCCATTGAAAATAGATACGGAATTCCAATGTCCACTTTCTTCCCTAAAAAGGGGTAGAATTTTGGTGACAATGTTCCTATTTGAGATTAAAAAGTTTTAGAGGTGTGTTTGAAAGAAAAGGTTAGGTAGTCATAATTTCTTTGTCCAGAGAATAACGTTGAGGTATCTATCACTATCTAACGGGATATTTATGTCATTGTAGGGATTTGACGGGATAAAAACGTAGTGTAAAAAGTTGAAAAGTTAGGGATGCCAAAGTTTTATAACCTTTGTAAAACACTGAGAAAATCAATTTTATTCTAGTATATACTATGAGATAAATAACATAAAATATGGAACATTGTAATGGATTTTTATTGAACACTCTTCATTTAACTTTCGAAAACTTAAATTACGCCTGGAAAATATTAAGTAATCGTAGTAAAATTAGTACATAGTTTGTTTTAATAGAAGCTTTTAGAAAATTATTTTTTCAATATTATATTGTGATAAGAGAAAATTTTTTAGATACGTAACGTAGCCTATTCGCATTTTAAAACGGAATATAATCCTGAATTCATTGTGCAGTAGATTAAAATAAGATAACAAATTTACCCTTACAAACTTTATTGTTAACTAGCTGTACCCGCGGACTTTGCCCCGTTTACCTTCATATGTGAGCTCGTTCGCATGGCTCAATCACGTCCTGGTTGAAGTTCGTTCGCTACGCTCACTCACCTTTAGGTTGGAGCTCGTTCGATGCGCTCACACGTCCTGGTAGAATTAAATTTATGTATTTTCGTTCGCTACGCTCACTCACCTTTACGGTTGGAGCTCGTTCGCTGCGCTCACTTGCCTTCAGGTTAACTCGTTTCTTTACGCTAACTCGCCTCCGGGTTGAAGTTCGTTCGCTACGCTCACTCACTTTTGGTTTAAAATTAGCTGTTGTAAAATATAAAAAAAATAATAGTGCTGCACTCTGTTGGTAATACTTGTTACTTTAATGCTATTGAACATCATAGAACAGAACCAACTTGTTTAATTGAAACAGCTGTTAAGATTCATTAATTCCATTTAAATATGAGTACTCATTAGGTTAACATGGGAAACTTCAGAGCCACTGGGGCGGCGTGTCGTAACACTTCGGCCCAAGTAACACTTCGGCCCAGTAACATTTCGGCCCGAAACCCTCAGATGTGGCCTACGGTCCAACTCTCTACCTGCCCACTAGTAACACTTCGTCCCAACAAAATATTTGACAGGTTAGGTTAGGTTAGGTTAAGTTAAGTTAAGTTAAGTTAGGTTAGGTTAGGTTAGGTTAGGTAAGATTCCACCGATTCTCCGTCATGTGAGGTCAGAGGATGCAAGGGGTGACGGTTGGACGACATTCCACCAGAGGGTGGTTGCAAAGTATACAGGTCATGTACCTCTTACTACCTGAACTGCGTTCCTCAACCCTTGTCAATTTTTCTTCGGGCCGAAATGTTACTCCATTAGCTTATTTAATCATCTGTAAAAGCGAGTGGGACGAAGTGATACTGTTTTTCTAAGAAATTTGAGTTTGGCCGAAATGTTACTGGGCCGAAGTGTTACTACATCTGGGGCGGAGCCCGAGAGTCCGATCAGAATAAAAACCACTTAGTTTTCCTATTTAATGCCTAAAGAATCAGTGTACCAAATTTCAGCCTCCTAGGTAAGTGGGAAGTGGGAGAATTAGTGATGAGTGAGTGAGTGAGTCAGTCAGTCAGTCAGTCAGTCAGTCAGTCAGTGAGGGCTTTGCCTTTTATATATATAGATAATTCCAGGAATAGTACGTATTCCCTTGTCCGTACTAACTTAGTTAACTATTATTTCGAAACATCGTTGTTAGTTCATATACGTTTTGACAAGGAACACATCTACATTGCCCATCTAATTAATAACGATTTTGTAAATTCTAAAATATATCAATCAGAGAAAATCTTCACAAAATCTTCGCCATCAGCAAACCCATAGTAAACAGACTTCGAAGTTGTTTTAACCTAAGACCCGAAAATAGTTAGGATAGTTTCAGAACCCGCCTACCAATTAGAAGAGCTATCGCTTTGCCCGCCAAAATATTGTTGACGTTTGGTATGATATGTCGCCGCCCTCGAGGCTTTATGGTGTCACAACCCCTATAACATCTGACACCTCCGAGAGAGATTGGAACACAGGGCCGGGCACATGGCCCTTACTTTTTGTACGGTCGCCTTTATGGCCAATTTGGCCTTAACCTGCCATTAGCAGTAATGTGGAAGGGTTAAGCGCTCATAACTCTTTTCAATTTTTTTAGAGAAAATATTCCATAAGAAATTAAAATGTGTACAAAAAAATGTATTTTGTTTAAGCTTACTTACTAGAACTAGAAGTTCAAATTGAAGTATAAAATACTTATTTCTTGATTTAAAAACCAAATAAATAATTTCTTGTTTACTTTTTCATACAGGGTTGAGTAAAAATTTAATAGATGTAATTTATTATTTTTTTATCATTTTATTGTTAAATATATCATTATTATGCTATGGCTACACTGCATAATAAAAGCTGCTGTAACCTAAAATCGATAGCTAATATAAGCTTGTTAATTAATACATTTGTTTTAAATTTATTTATTTAATCATGATTAAATTTATCATCGCGATAAAAAATATTATAAAATATTCGTCACCATTGACGTTTGAATAGTTAAACCAGTCAAAGAGTGTGTGCTCGATGCTAATTTTGTTGATAAACTTTGCTTTCACCTTACAAGGTTGGCACCCCTTGGCGTAGTTCAGTCATTCAATGCTGGAATACTATTTGTAAACCTAATCCCGTAGTAAACAAATACGAATTGCCGAGTTATGAAAGTTATGTCACACAGAGTCAGCTGGTTTTCGACAACAATGCTCAGGGCATCAGTTCGGTCAGCTGGTTTTCGACAACAATGCTCATCGCATCAGTTCGATCAGCTGTTCCTTGACTTGTCGTATTTTATCACATGACTTGATTATTTATCATTTATCGATTACTCTGTTTTATCCACACTTCCTTCCTATTACTCACTTTTTATCTGAAAGATTGTATGTTATGAGTAACTCAATATTTATAATTATTTTTTATCAACGCACTTGACAATTTATACAAAATGAAAAATCTTGTTCTAGTTAAGTTGTCAAATTTTCCTCAATACAATTTCTAAAAAATATTTTTATTCGAACCATTTTTATTTACCATCATAGATAGCATTTTTTGTCTATGTGATCACTTTTGATAAAATATGTATTACGTTTGGACATTTATCAAATGGGTTGCTTACGACTAATACCATAAGACCTTTATTCTTTTTAATCTCTAAGAGTAGATTTCTACTTGAGTTTTTTTCAGAAAAGGGTCGCCACTTTTTATTCTGTGGAATAAAACCTGGCCAAAGCTTAGTTTAGGCTAGGTTAGGTTCGTTTATAGCTTTACACACACGTTTTTGTTATTTACCGAAAATTCACAAAAACTCAAAAATCACCTAACCTAAACTGTGGATTTTCCAGACTTTAAATAGTAGCAACCCTCTTCTGAAAAAGACCCGTCTACCCTTTAATCTATGCTAATTCAGAGACTTCTGGGACTATCTTATAATCCAAAGGTTTCGAATTGAAACTGTTAAAAGCAATTTAGCTAGAATAAATAAATTATTAGTCCTTTAGTGCTTCACGAATTTTTACGAATGTTTAATATTACATCACCTATAACTAGTTACTGAAACGAAATAATTAAAATAGTTTGTAAAATATAACAGACGAATTTTAAACCTACATTTCCCAGACGGTCTGTATATTAATCTCACAAAATTACTCAAAAGCATAATTTCCGTGGGTGGCATCTCAGGAACAGTTTCGCCCTGATTTTCAAGGGCTCTATTTATACTGGAGCGCTAAGTGGTGCTATTAGGGAAAGGCTTATGGAACTAGAACTCTGCCTTGAGGCACCCCCGGTGATAGGTTATTGACTCTTTCAAACAACACACCCCGCCAAACAAATATCCTCTAAAATACTGTCTCCGTGGCAAAAACTTGTTTGTTTTCGTGATCAAAAGTCAAAAGCTCTGTTTGTTCTGTGACACTTCAAGACCCTCGGAGTGCATTTCCAATTTGCTGTTTGCTTCTAAGATATTCTTCCGTTGTGATTCGCCACAAAGGGGTCTATTGAGTAGAAAGTTATTGTTTCTCAATGAATAATTTCAAACTAAAAAGTTTTGTCGAATAACTTGTAACGCGTTAACCGACTTTTCCACCTCATTAAGTTTTCCGTGTTCTCCATGACAGGCTAAGCCTAATTAACCATCCCGCCATGTAGAGTTATCAGTGTTGATAAGGTGCGAAATAGTTCCCACAGAGCTACAAAAGGGAAACTTGAAAAAGGAAAATGTTTTATTAAAAATATATTTATGGAGTACGTTAAGTAACGTGTTAACAGTTATTCTGCAATAAGTGAACAATAAATACGTAGTTTTATTTTAGTTAGACACCTGTAGGACACTTGACAATACGATAGAAAATCCAACACTTTATGAAACTCGATGTCAAATTAGATAAATGGTATTGAAATCAGGTAAATCCCAAAGGTACTTGACTAAATCAGTTATCTCCCTAGTATTACAACATTTCACAACAATCTAGATTACAGTTATCACAATTGTCAGTTAGTGTGAGTGATTGAACCATGGTGCCAAGTGTCGTGTTTCTCGCAGCAATATTTCCATTACTTCACTGCCTCGAGAGCAACATCCGCAGTGATGAGTTTATCCAAATGATAAATGAGATCCAAGATGCTTGGACAGCCGGACCGAACTTCCATGAACATTCCTACGTCAAGAATCTACTGAGCGCTCTCCCTAATCGAGAGGAAAAACTCCCACTTCAGATTGTCGATGTGAAGAAACGTCTACCGGATGACTTTGACGGCAGGCAGTCTTGGAAACGGTGCAGATCTGTGGGAAGAGTCAAGGAACAAGGCAATTGCGCTTCAGCTTGGGCTTTAGTAGCTACGGGTGTCTTCAGTGATCGTATGTGTATATCGAAAGTGAGCAATGTAGAAGTTTCCGCGCAAAACGTGTTGTCTTGCTGTAGACTTTGCGGGGTGAACTGTTTCGGCGGGTACGTCTCCGAAGCTCTCGCATTTCTGGCGCGAAGTGGAGCGCCCTCCAAGAAATGCCATCCTTACGAACTCTACGGCTGCCCGAAGATCCAAGGACTCATGAGTTGCCCCGAGGTCAGAGCTTACAACCCGAGGTGCCGAGGTTACTGTAGACCTCCCTACCCTAAGAGACCCTTCCAAGACCTCCATCAAGCCACTGGGGCGTACTCCATCGCCAACAACAGTGATGTGATCATGAGCGAGATCATTTCCAAAGGCCCTGTGGCGGCGGTGATGGACGTCTATGAAGACTTGATGGTTTACAAGTCCGGAGTGTATTCTTACACTGCTGGAAGACAATTGGGGCAACACCCTGTGAAGGTGGTAGGTTGGGGTGAAGACCAGGGACGACCTTACTGGCTCGTGGTGAACACCTGGGGAAGCCTGTGGGGCGACAAGGGTGTGCTGAAGATCGCTAGGAAAACCAATGGGTGTAACTTGGAGAAAAGAGTGTTTGGTTTGTCTCCTTGAAATAGTGTTGTGATTGTATAATACTGTCATAATACTGTCACTGTGTGATTGTAAGTAAATGGATAAGTTCATGGACTTTATTGAAGACCAATAGAACAATTCATTATTTGATTTATAAGACTGATAGCAATGATAGAGTTTTTATAATTTAATTCCATTTTAAAACAGGTAATAGCTAAACATTGTGATAGTGATTTAAAAACATTATTACTTTCATCCCTGTAATAGTGTTGCAAATTGATTGGAAATAGTACTTTATTAAAGACCAGCAGAATTATTCAGGATTTGTTTTTCTACCAAAGTGAATATCTTAATATTATGTAGTCCGCAGGTTGTTAAGGTACTTGTTTTTTTGTTGTGTTTTTTTTTTTTTTTTATTTAACAACAAGTAGTCATGACTTTAGTTAAAACAAAGCTCTTTATATTTAACTATTACAAACTTAAAACCTTTTAAGTTTATAGCAATGGTTAAGTTTTTGTAATTTATTCCATTCTAAAACAGGTAATACACATTGCAATACAGCAATTGGAAAATAGAAATACTTTCATCCCTAAACTTTCACAAATTTGTTACACCTTCAATACTACCAGTTTTGACGTAGTCTCCCTTAGAACACTTCTCACCACCGTTCGTGTTGTATAATTATTTCCTACAAATCTCACTTTCATATTTTAACACTAGCTCGAGTAGATAGTTTAAGAGGTTATGCTTAGACAAAGTAAGGGTGTACAACATACACTAGATGAAACCATAACTTACTACTAGACACTAGTGTAAACGGGGCTTTCTACTACAGTAGTAATGCACGCGCGGTTATCAGTCAAACCTCTTCAACTTTAGTCCAATCTCACTCTCGCTCCGTTTTTGGAAAGGTCCGCTGTTGAAGTCATTTGTCATCTTTTGACATTCCTGTCTGGACGGAGCACCCTCGTTCACCACGCTTAAGATAACTTCTGAATGCAAAAAGCTTTGTCTGTCGATTTTAAAGTGTTTCAATATTCCAAATTTTTAGTTAAGTTTATAAAATTTCCATATTTTGTTTTAAAATATTTTTGTTGAATTTTCGCACCCAAGTTGTCACGTAACTGTACAGCGTTTAATGAGTTCCCATGACCAGGCTGATAAGAACGGAACATAGATAAGAAAGAGGAAGTCATTTTATCAGGCCCTCCTACACTGTAGGAAAATGTCAACCACGTTTTATTTAGTTTTGATATTTCACACGTAAAATTAGCCATCGTAGAAAAGCAGAATATAAATAGCTATAGTGAGTTCAGATTTGATTTAAACAGTAAGCATTTCGATATTTAAAGCATATGTATTGTGACTTCATCATATTATATGATGCTATCGAAGGTTTCAACGTATGTTTTGTTAAAATAACTAATGGCATTTCACTTATCTTTATGCAGTCTATCGTTTACTCTTGTCTTTCTCCAACAGAAATCTCAGAAAATTAAATATTCTTAACATAGATCCATAACAATTACATGGATGACATCTTTAAAAAAATTGCTTGAATCTTCGTATTTGAATTGAACTTCTTTTTTTTAACCGATACCTTCAATTTGATAGGTTTTTAAATGCTGCAAAATGTTTGTACATATTACTTTTGATGATCTTTATAATGCCGCGAATTATATATCTTGCCTATATGTAGATAAAATCGTTACAAGTTTAAAATGAAATAAAAGATCTAAGCAAAAATGATTGAAACTTACCCTCCAATCCAAATGTAATGTTTACTGTTGTTTTCATTCGCCTGTCATATGTTTTCAGTGGCCTGTCATTGCCTGTCAGTAGTTCAAATAACAATACTTAAGAGAAACATGTAATTTTTGACATTAGCATACTTTTCTAGACAATTGATAAACTAATTTATCGATGACACTGACTTATTGTTCAAACTACTTTGATATCTAGTTAACTCGTAAGTAGAGGCAATAATATTCATCTTAGACCAAGGCTAGAACGAGGTAAAGTGTTGAGAGACAGAGAGGACGGGGGTTGTCAGACTGACCACATGTTTTCAGCCACAATATTAATCACAGGCTGTTTGTACACAAGTAACCCCCCTCCCTATCCCTGACTCTAGCCCTCAGTACTTCCCTGAACCGACTCCTTGGGGGCTCCAATAGTCTGACGTTTTACTGACGGGACTATCAATGTGTCTAAAAACACATTGTGGGAACAAATTTTGTCCCAAAAAATACAAACATTTTTTTGTAGATACCACGATCTGTTGTCACACCAACGATAAGTTGCTGGCTTGTTTTTTATGTTAGCTAATTTGGTAAATTTCTGTTTTTAGCTCCAATGCTAGATGAACTATTTTTCACAATTTATATGTAGTTAAAGTGGGCAAACCCGTTCCCCAGCGCCATTAAAAACTTTGCAATCATCCAATAACTTTTCAAATTAGTTCATTTTATGACAAACATGGGGAGAGCTTGGAACATTTCGTCCATTAAATACACATTATAGACAATGAGGAGGCCTGCCCTTTGCAATATAACTTTTATGTAATATAACTTAAAATTCATTATTATTTAGTAGCCCCCATAAGTGAACCACTTTACAATAAACTTAATTAAATAATTGGTAGAGTAATTTTAAACAATCAACAGAAGTCCAAATTGGAGTTTTGAAACGCTTTTAAAACTTCGTATCTTGACTCTTCACATAGTTTTGGATTTTACTGAAGAAAAATGATTGGTTTTAGTCACAACAGAAAATAACCTCATCCAAAGTTTAGTAGTGCGTGATTAAATCAAAAAAGTGATTAAATTAAATGTTTGTATACGACTCCTTAAAACTCAGTTGTGTGTCTCTTCATATTTTCAAACCCTTTTATTATTTTTTTCTCGCTAGCCGCAATAAGGGGAAAGGTAATTGTACAAAGATGTTCACGTTTTCTGCTTATCATTTTCTACAACTCGTCGCGAGTCCCTGGAATATGAGAATCTAGAACGGAAGAACACATCGAGATCGTTATCACCAACTTGCTGACTAATCCCACACACACACTCACTCACACAATCACGTGATGAATGGTGTACCCAGGGAGTTTGTCCAGCCACTGGTATATATTACACAATGAGAAACTTTATCCCGCAACTATTTGAACTAATGTCGGATTTTATTTTTGGTGTTGTAAAAAAAATTCTGTCCTCGGTGGAACACAACTGTTCTCTTTTCTTCCCACGAAAAAAAATACTTTTTCGCTAACTCATTATGGTTTTAGTTTTATAAACTAAATCCAATCGTTGAATCTTGAAATATGAACACAGTCTGAAGAAGTTGGTTTTTGTTTTTCCCATTTTTTTTTATTTTTATTTATTTTTTTTTAAATAGAACACTAGTTTCAATACAGCATTTTGAAATGTCAATACAGTACATACTTATGGTCAAACGATTACGTACTTTCTGTTTAAACTTTTATTTCAAACTAATTACAAAATAAAACTGGCTTCGAGGTCAATTGAAAGTTTGGGATTTAATCCTCCAACAGATAAAATTCCCCTTGATCGATTATTTCTTGGTAATCTAAAAGAACATGAAACCAGCAGTGATTCTTTGATTTGATAAGTAATTTATCAAGGATAAAAAAGCTAGCTATAGTATGAAGTAAAATTTTAATTCAAATGTGTAAGGTGTCTTCATATCCTAGGGTGAAGCTCATGTCGTTATCAAAATGATTATATTTCTAAACATTTGACAATTAAAAGATAAACATATCGATACATCAACTCTGTAACAGTATTTCATTAACTAGTGAGGGAAATGAAAGTAATTGAGATATGTGTATTTGGGATAAAATTCTTTTCTAAGGTTATTTTGGGTAAAAAATGTCGAATTTTTATCTTAAATAAGATCTCCTTTCTGTCATAATCCCAATAAGATTCTTAAAAATCAATTTTAGAACCATATCGATAACAAGACAGAAATGCCGATTATTTTATTTTACTGCAGTAGGTTGAAGGGATCAAATACGAAATCTGGGATATTTTCAAAGTGTTCAGTGACAAACTGCAAGCTGCATTCAAGACTAGGTCAGTGGTGCATCGTCTGCAGCTGCACCGAGAGTTCAACGCCATTCTACAATAGAAACAAACAGACCTGTACATACAACAATGGTTTACGATCGTGCGTGCAATAGTGCACTGTGCAGCGTGCACACCTCAATAATACCTTTGCACAGTGCGCTGTACTAGTTGTTCTGCGGCCATTCTACTGAGGGTTTTGACCTCGGGAATGTAATGGTAATGTTATGAAATTTGAGTACGACTGGATTGCACAACTAGGATGAAGTGACTTTTGTATAGATCAGAGATATTGAACCCCCCCCTCCCTCCAAGAAAATGTACTACAATAGTTATGATCGGTTTAAAATTTCTATTGGATCTATAAGAATCCAACAGACCTTATGGTTTTGTGCAGTTGCTGAAGTAGTAGGGAGATCATATGCGTGATAAACTAGTCTATTTGGGGACTTTGTGGACAACACTCACTTTTTTGGGGATATCCAGGACTCGTTAATCACAAACACATACACACGTCAAGTACAATCGTACGTGAAATCAAGGCCGACGTTTCGCGAAACCCGAAAAACGTCCCGCTTCTTCAGGTTAAACTCTATTTTTATCCCGCACACTGGTCAAATGCCTCAACGTAATAGTCTCGCGGAAAATCTTTCATTTAGTAGGCCTACCAACTACTAAATGAAGAGGTATTCACCATACCCCTAAAACATATTTCCTCAGGTCCTTGTCAAAATAACTACACAGTAATTCGATTGTATGGAAACTAGAATAAACAATTTCAGGAGTTCATTGGAGGATGCATGGAAGACATTAAGCTTTATCATTTGACATGACCAACACCGAAAAATTCACAATCATTTATTCGCCGTATAACAAATAAGAATATTAGTTCTTTACATACCGGTATTGAATTCATTATTACACATTCAAAACAAAACTAAAGTATAATTTTAAATTTTATTCAGCATTTCCTCCAGGATTGATTTAAGACAGTATAAAATAGGTTTACGTACCTTACGTCGTCAATCCTTAATCAATCCTTAGTCAATCCTTATAATTTTAAACGATCGTGGACACTGAGATGTAATTACATTCCATCTAATCTAATTGTGAAACAGAAAACAGTCCATGTTTCGAGCCAGATATAAAATAAATGATCGTGGAGTGGTTATGATGCCTTCTGAAACTTATTTAATTTATTATAAGCAAGACAAGCCACATTTTTGAGATTTTTTCATCCAAGACTGGTCATTGGAAATCGTCGTTAACAATTTTTGTCAATTGATATTTTTAATATTTTCCTACCAGATATTTTTTCAAGGTTTTGTTGGCCAAACAACAGATCCATGTTGATACAACAGCTGTGGAGTCACGTGACTCAACCCTTATTTGATATCAGCAACAGCTGATAAGGCTGATAAGATCTGACAAGCGAGCGACAACAAGAGATAACATGTCACTTGGAGATAACGCCCTTTCTCACTACATTGAGTCCTTAGGGAGTCTTAGGGGCAAATCTGTCATGTCTTAATACTGTGCAAAAAGAAACTCCAGAGCCAAGCGGTTGATAGGATTTTTGTATATATTTCTGGAACTTCTAATTTCTCACAGAGAGTAGTTTAATCGAATTATTGTAAATTTATTTTTACAGATATTTTAGTATAACTGGATTGAATCGTTTTTGTTGAATGTTATTTTCTAGTAAGACTTAAGTGGTCCATTATGTTTTTGCATAATAGCCTACTCTTTCCATTAGGAAACTCCACTATTTGAAGAGTTATGAATTGACTAATGGTTTATCCTAATTTTTATTTTCAAGAACGCGAGTCAATATTCTTGGGCTCTAGTTAGAAACACTTGACTTACTTCAAAAATTGGTTTTGTATAACAATAACAGAAATACATTAAACGAAACCCTTAAGTACATTCATGAGTAATAGTTTACCAATTTTTCTACTTAACTTGTAGAAGGGATGGCATTCAAAAGAGTATTGGTTATATAAGTTACCATATACTAGCCAGTTGCATTCTATACAGTGATTTTTAAAGTTATTCTCATTTCCATCCATTGGCATTTTTTAGCGTTTTAGAGAACGACCCAAACCCCGATCTATTAACTGAGACGACTCTCTGATACCATAATTAATTGATATCCCGATCACAAATTGTATCTACACTACTTATCTTTACAGCAAATCTTAGTGTTTAACATGCCACATATCTTTATCTCTATTGATGTACAAACATAAACACGCCCACATGGCATGGGAAGCACTGCACTTGCAGCACCTGTGTAGGTATGATACAATTACACGCTTGGTGTGGGATGAATCAAAGACAGCGACGGCGTCAGTTTCCAGGAACTAGCCGCGGAGTCGGTGTCTCTAAGGAGCCGAACTGTTAACTTCCAGGAAACTCGGGAATATTCAACTCAACGAAGGAAAACACGTCGAGAATACGGCATTCTTGAGGGTCAGTTGTACTGGTGCAATAATTGTTTGATTTAACTAACTTTGTAATTATGTTAAACAAATTTTGCGCTTGTTGTGTAGTCCTGTGAGTCTTGGTACCATGTAATTGATCAAATGTTTAAGAGACGTGATTTGATTGCTTAGTCAAAACCCGATTCTATTGCAAATAACTTATTTGAATGCTTGACCAAAGCCACAACTAAGTCGTTTGTATCCATACCAGAGAGGTATCCTGACAGAAATACTACCAACAATAGCAAAATGCTCAGAATTCCCAGTATGTGGATCAAAAGAACCCTTATTGGTTAGTCTCCTTTACCTCAACAGCCAGTCAAATATCGGGTATGGGTTGACCTAAAAATCTAAACGTGTTATGTTCTTGAATGCTGAGTTCAAGTCCTGTCAATCACCAATTGGGTTACGTGATAATAAAGTGATTCGGTGGTTCGGAATCCACCTTTAGCTGTAGGTCATGTAAACCATGATAAATCAATTTTTTAAATATATTGTCACTAAATTGAGTTGAGTATGCAATAACGTAATGTTCAACCCGCCCCCTCACCAATAAGCCCTACAAAATGCAAAGTAGATAGTCCTATATCTTCCAGAGAACTACACGTTTTCCAACATTAAAATAACCTCTCAGATCCTGATGCACACTACAGCACTTATCAACAGCAAAACCAATAACTGCGAATCGCTACGCAACATTTCCCGTGCGTTACGCCGTTTGCGCACCCAAGTTCCCATGCCTTATGGCATGTCCGCCCGCATATACTTCCTGCTGAAGACAATAGCGCATAAAGAGGTCGAAGGTATACGATAGCGCATGACACCGCTTATCATCAGGTGATATTGTTATCACTGCCTACTTAAATATAATTGACGTGCGAGTACTATCGGTGACGTTTCGTGAGTTACGGGCGTCTTCAGGGCTGCGCGCGCAGGCATTCACTGCGTGCCGCGCATGCGCACTGCGCGATGGCGCTGAGTAAATTGAATATTAGGTGATATTGTTATGTTTATCAACCAAGTAGGAAAATATCTGTTTTGTAGGCTACTGTTTGCAAAATTGAACTTAAGTGAAGCATAACTGGTAGGCCTATACATGCTTACAAGTATAAACTATACAGAAGAGTTACAGTAGTACAGTAGCGATAGCCTGGCAATCAAAAGGTCGCCGGCTCGATTTTGAGAAAAGTCAGAAACCTTCTGATGGTTCGAAAAGGGTCCCAGCTGTACATAATAATTGGGCTTATTAAGGTCCTGGCTTAAGAAACTAAACAGCTCGTATTTTCAGTTGCACAAGGCATAACACCTCAATCCATTCAACAGTTGTTTTCCATTAACAAACTCAATAACCCTTTTATTCAACCAAAATAACGATTACAAGCATTCGTTATGTCAATCTCTGCGTCTAACTAAAAATTAAATAAGACAATGTTTCTTCAACTAAACTAAATTAATGACAACCTCTTAAAATAACAAAACCCATCAGCGACATTCATATTTTAGTTGAAATACCCCCAGTTAATATGTCTATCCTAGTAATAATAACAATATGAATTTACAAATTGCAAATAACGCACACCACAAAATGTAGAACAACCGCTTACAATAATGATTATGAGACACCCTCCAAATGTTTCCAAAGTCCACTCCAGACAGAAGCCTAGTCACCTATCATACATGACAACTTTGTCTTTGTTGTTGTTTTGTCACAGGATGACTCAGAACATTGCCTGCTCAACATTTCGCTCAGACAGTGTTTTCTAACTCATCCTTCAACTGTTGGAAGATCCAAATCCTGTTTTCTGTTGATCTAGATTTTTTTCAAACCACCCAAAATGTTAATGTAACACATCTCCCAGACGTTTAAACAATTTCAAAAACCACTTCACACTTTTAGCAAGTTTAGCATACAATTTCAGAAAATTGCTCTTAAGAGAAGGGGCAAAAACGTTATTTTCTCAGTTGTAGTCGTTTTCGTTTGACAAATGTTAGTCTGATAATTTGAAACTTAACGATAAGTAAATTATTGCTATAATATTAGCAGGATTGTCTTGGTTTTGCTGTAGTTTCACCCACCTCTACTGCACGCTCAGGTTTAATTCGGAGTTATTTATTGCCCAGAGTGGCTGTACGCCATACAGGGTGTTCCAAAGTGGCCGCCATATCCTGCACACACACTGTTATCTGCTTCTGATAAAGAGACTGATAAAAATATCCTCTCAAACTAACCTTCTCAACCCACGTCTGGAGGTCCACTGCTGCTGAAACAGATTTAGGGGAAATAAATGCATTAGTTATAGGCTATTTATAGACTTAGAACATTGTGAATCCATAAATCTGTAAACATCAACTATTGCAATCAACTGAACCAATCAAATTTCTGAGTTCTATCACAGATTAGTCTACACTCTATCTGTGGCTGAGTCATATTGTTTAAGGTTGCACTATAAATTGCACTGATGTTCATCCACACAGGGGTCATTGGCATTGTTCCATCCATGGATGATGGGTGTAAATTTGTGTATGTTTTATGTGACCAATTTTATATTATATCTTGTGATCACTGTCAAAGTTGGCCCAAAGAGATCACAGAATCTCCCACAATGGCTGATCACGGTGTGATCATTTTACTTGGTGGTGTTTTCCTCAAAACTGTGTCCCCAAAACAGACTTTGTATGAACGATGTCAGACAAACTTACATATAAATTTGTCAGGTGTTCTTATGTCTGATTTTCTCCACCCATAACTTTATTCAAGGTTCACATGCCACAAATGTGGAGAATTCTGAATGTGTATCAATGGAAAACATTTTGATGTGTTGGTGTGTTATTCATGGTGTTCCTAGCAGCATGAAGGCAAGGCGAGCTGATACAAGGCGTACTATATACCTATGTTGTCTAGTTGAAGACGTCGAGTACTACAGTGAAGGTAGAGAATGTGTCAACTGCGGCGCCATCTCCACTCCTCTGTGGCGCCGCGACGGCACCGGACACTACCTGTGTAACGCCTGCGGACTCTATCACAAGATGAACGGCATGAACCGTCCTCTGGTGCGCCAACCACGCCGGCTGGTAAGCAAAGGGCTTTCTCTTCGGTGCGGTGTTCAAGCTTTAGGGTTCAGCGAAACCATTGCATGAATCTTTTTGGTGTGGTCTTTGCAGCGGTCTTCAACATCTCGTCCTTGTCACCAAAAGATTCATCAATGCGTACCATTGACTTTTGGATACTGAAGTAGACATCCCATCAATAGGAATAGCCAATTTTTATTCAAAAAGTATATAGTTCAATGAGCCACTTTTTTATTCTATTCCTTATTTTTGTTACTAACTGAATTGAGATTTAAGATGCTAGCGCCACAATCAGTCATATCAGTTTAAATTGGTAAAAGTCTACATATTTGACCTCGAGTACCTAATTTATTTCACAATCTGTCAGTGGCTCAAACTACGTCCATTTTGATTAAAAACCCTGGCGACAACTTTTGGGATGGAATGTCTAGTTGTATCAAAAATCAAAGGTATCGTTGAGTCATTTTGCGGGGTGTGCGGGAAAAGTCCTCACAAATTTTCGATGCATGTCCGCGCATGTTGGGTCAAGAAGGAAAGCCCTTGTAGAACACCAGCCGTGCGTTTTTCCCTATTTTCCGATGTTGGAGCAGTAATGGTTGCCTGTTGCAGTGGCGTCGCCTGGTGAAATCTACAAGGGCTCCTTCTACTCGAGTCAGATGTATTCGCGAGGGCCTCATCCGAACCTCCTGATGGAGGATAAGGGGAACAGACGCTTGGTATGTTCATTCATGGTTTCCTTCTCCTGCATGAGCTTCTGGTTGTTGCTTTACCTTTCCTTTCCTAACATCTGCATGACTTTCTAACATTGGCTTGATTTTTTCCTGCATGCGCTTTTGTTTTATTGCTTTACTCTTCCCCTCCTAACATCTACATGGCTTTTTAACACTTGATTGGTTTTTGTTCAGTTGTTTTCTGGATGTATTTATTCCTTCTCTCCTGCTTGAGCTACCTACTGAATATTGTTGATTGCTTTATCCTATTCCTCTCCTAACAACTGTATGACTTTCTAACATTGGCTTGAATTTTTGTTCTGTTTCTTATGAATGCATGCAAATTTCCCATATAGGAAATATTTACGTTTTACCGTAGTTTTCTGGATTTTTAAACTTTTATAGCATCATTTTAATTTTGCTTGTCATATTTATTATTTTTTTTTTCTTAAAAAGTGTTATACAAATAATTATTTTCTTTGCTAAATGCTATGCGTTTATTTCCCCTTTGTTTGCTGGCTTATTCACTGAAAGATTACTATAACCATTAAGTAATTTTGAAATTAACACTTTTATAGCCTATGATTTTGAGGGAGACACATTACTAACCAACTACCAGTACTTTTATTAAAAACTGAATGAAAATAAAATAAAAATATAAAAAAACTTTATTCTAAAGGTTTTTGACATGAAAGCAAATTACATAAGGAAACATTTAAATTAGATAAAGATTCTGTACATTTTGACCTATGTAAAACTGAATAGAATTTGATTTAATATAGTTGTGTAGGAGACTATCTAAACAAATGAATTTTAAAACTAATTACAAAACAAGCTGCTAAATACCATTTTACATAAAACCTAGAAAAAATAGTAGTTTACTCCAATAACCCTTTAGGTCCTAAAACCAACAATTAATTTCTATAAATAAAAAAAAAATAGTCATTTAGCTCAATCAGCTAAAAATTACCATCGGGCCCTATAAACCAATGGAGATGCTAGGTATTTCTACTTACAGTATCAAGTCATTCTTAGGTCATGATTTGGAGGTATCATATTCTACTCCTGGTTACTTTAGACTCTTTATGTTTCCATTCCACATATTGCCCTGTGGAATCATCACAGTTACTTCTGGGGTATTCTCATAGGCTTCCTGGGTAATTTCACAGTCACGTGGGTAATTCTCATTGTTGCCCCCTTGCCCATAGTCACACAAATTACACACAGTCCCCGTATTATTTTTCACTCGTCCCTAGTTTATTGTGACGGTTTCTCTATGTTACAGTCCGCCTCTCGTCGTGTCGGACTGACTTGCAGTAACTGCAGCACGAGCGCCACATCACTTTGGAGACGTAACACCTTGGGTGAACCTGTTTGTAATGCTTGCGGTCTGTACTACAAACTGCACGGTGTAAACCGACCTCTAACTATGAAGAAGGATAGTATACAGGTAGGTGATGTTTATGTGGAGGCTGTTTGTGTAAGAGAGTGTCTGTGTTGAATAAAAATTGTCCGATTTCAATGACATTTGGTATAAACATCCTACCTACGCTAATTCAAACGAGTTTGAGAACCAGCATGACCTGACTTTGGAAACTGGGTTTTGTGGTAAAATTTAGATTTCCCATTTTTACACACAAAATATAAAATTTCTTAGTTTGTTCAAACCATTTTTAAAGCTCAAAAAATCAAATAACTTAGTATATTAAAGCGTTGTTGAACGTCTGAAGGTTACTTTACTGTCATGGCCATTTTTATCCCAATCGCTACTTGGTCTCAGTATCATAGCGCCTTTATGTGTCTCTGTCTTCGCAATAAATATAACTTTGACAATAATAGCCCGATTTCCATTCCAGCGACATTTCTAAAGTGTTAAATGAATTATTAGTGATAAAATGTCTAGAATTTAGCATCATATTAGTAAAAGAAAAATATGGTTTTGGATTAAAATTCAATACCGCTCCTGCTCTGTCTAAATTATTGCCAGAGGTTGGGATTATGATTTTTAAATAACTCCCAAAAATAATTTTCTTTCAATGTTGCATTATGTACTACTAACATCTTTTGTCAGTGCTCGCCTCATAATCAAAAGGTCGCCGGTTCCACTCTGAAAAAATATTGGCTTTTAATGGTTTGAAACTGGACCCAGCTGTCCTTGGTCATTGGACTTTTGATAATTGGTCCTGACTAATGAAACAGCTGATCTTAGTCAGTAACAAAGCTACACAGATCATCGCACAACATTCTACACTCATCCTTCACTCATGTTTGGGTTAAAATACACACCTAGGTGGCGTCCCCATATCAATTGGGAATACAAATATTAAATATGCATACCACTTTTTTAAGTTATTTTATTTTTGGCTTTAAATCTATTTAAAAAAGAATTATATTTGAGATTTCCCGCAGCCGTGTTCATCTTTTAGGTTTACCATCTGTGTTCCTTTCTCCTTGTCACTGAGCTAATCTACTCCATCTTTAGATGAAAACAGATTATAAAACTCATCTCCTAATGGCAGGAAAACGCCACGTCCTCGATTGCAAAACTGAGATCCTATAAATTTATAGTTTAGCGTGAAGCAACAAAATACCCCTGCCGCAGCAAATCTGCAGTCTAATTTCCATCAACCTGTCTAGATTTCTACTAAAATATCCCCTTAAAATTGTCAGATATATGTTCTATTTAAATAACATTAATTTTAAAGAGTACTTAGGTTTGCTACTACAGGAAAGATAATGAGGTGTGTTTTAATTTAAATGTTAAAATGTGCCAAATATTCAAAATACACCCATTAACAAGCAAACTACAACAATTAATTTATTCTCCACAAAAAAACACAAGAATTTTTAATTTACACCTTTTTCTAATTTTCTCTCTAACCGTTGAGCATACAACAATGCTTAAATATACTAAGTTATTTATTTTCTCAAGCTCTGCAAAATGGTTGATAAATAATTGCAAAATTTCATGTTTTCAGGGCAAAAAATGGGAAAAGCTAATTTTTACCCTATAAAACTCCCCATATACCTCCGTTCCCCAAGGTCCGATTATGCTGGTTCGTGAACTTGTTTGAATAAATGAAGTTTCATACCAAATTGAATTAAAATCAGATAATTTTTGCTCTTTTTGAGTTATTGTTCTAACAGACACACATATATAGGCTATATATAAAGTCGGTCCTAGGTCCAGGTCTTACCATGAGACCTACAGTTATTCCCTAATTATGTGAAATTTGCTAAAATTGAACATTTAGAAGTCAAATTGTCAACGTAATACCATTTAGAATGAGAAATAATACGAAAACTGTAAAAAGACAATGGTTACCTTTAAATTGAACTTTCAATCCTACACTAATCGTTTGACTATTTAATTAATGTATACTACACAAGCTAATTTGTCATATTTTTCCATGCAAACCAGGATAGCGAATTGTGTAAGTTCTTTTCATGGTTAATTTTCCTGATTTTGTGTTGTAGTAGTGATAGGTTAAATAATCAAATGAGTGATACATTTGATGTTTTCAATTGACCTACTTTTTTAAAGTATTTGAATTTAAATAGAGTAAGTGTTAATGCATAAATGTCTAATTCAATTGTTCAAGATAATGTTCTGCCATGTTGCCCAAAACCAGAAGTTTCCGAGTAAGAAATCTTTTTTTAGAGAGTAGCAATATAAGTATCCTAAGCTCAATCTGTATTCAGATATAACTTGAATTTTGACAATCCAGCTCATAAATTTTGTTGAAGTGGTTTCTTACTAATTCATGATTATTTTAATTATTATTACGGTTCTAAATATCAAGTTTTGTCACTGTCTGTGTGTAAAGTTATCATTAGAATGCCTTCAGCAAATACAAACTATGTTAAACTCAACTGTATAAAATTTGCAGCATCTATTCTGCAGGCTTGAAAACTTAACCTCTTAAAAATAATACCAAGCTATATTTTCAAATAATTTAAAGAGAAATTTAGGGCAATTTTTTAGTTAAATTAATCTTTTTTGAATAATCCTGAATGTGGAAAATACAAGTCAAAGTATTATGATAATAAATTGTAATGATACTTTTTACTTTATTTATTTAATATTTTAACATAATTTTAATGTTTCAGACCAGAAAACGAAAACCGAAAGGAAGTATGAAGACGTCGGAACCTCCAAAACAACGCGTCAAGTTGGAGCATGAAGGTAATTCAACACATTAAAAATCGAAATCACTATAATAAATTAGTTATGTCGACGTTTTGGATTTGTTTTCCTGCATTTCACAGCAATTGCAAACTCTGGGTTTCCATTCTAAACTCAGCAAGAAAAATTGTATTTAAAGGCTATTCTGATAGATATACTGTACATTACTGTACATAGATATACTGTAGATAACTGGGATGGTGGCGTCCCTGTAATCCAGCTACTAGGAGGTATTGTAGATAGTTATAGGCATGCACTGTGGATGCAATACTCCCTGGTGTGGATTAACGTCTGCACAAGTGAGTACTATGACTATCCGCAGTACTATCCTGAAAATTAGACCAATTCGTATTTACCAAGGCAAAAATGTAATTTGGATTCCCCTATAAACTGTTGGTCCCTTAGTTGCCGTTAGCTGTATGGGCCCTTATTGGCTGTATGGGCTAAATAACAGCTGTGTCTAAGGAATTAGTCAGCCTTAGTCACTAACAAGACTTCAAGATCGCGCCACTCATCCTACACTCATCTCCAAATCAGGCCAGCTTTTATAAACGGGCAGACTGGGCATATGCCCAGGGGCGTCGGTGGCTTGGGGGCACCCAGCGGGGCCCCCCAGCACTGCCCGCCAGCACCAGGAAAAAGGGGGGGTTGCTCTAGGGTTTGTCCAGGGCTCCACTGACCCTTAACGCGGCCCTGATCTCCATTCATACTTGGCTTAAAATACCTAATTTGTATGGTCGCCATTTCATTGAAAAGTTACTACTTCAGAGCCATACGGTAATAAATTTCTGAAATACACCAATCCAAGCTCACTTTGAATGTGAATATGAATAACTAATGACTTGGAGTTGTAGAAAGGCGAAGAAAAGCTCATCGAAAGCTGATTCGGGCGATGAAGGAGAAACTAGATGCAACTGGGACGATGATTTTGAGGTTAGTAGCTAAGGAGTACAAAAGGCTATTATGTAAAAAGTAACATCCCTGATGGACATGAAGGATAAATTTGATAGCGAAACATCCATAAAGTCCCTAGATGAAAAATATGACATGCTTATGGAGGAGGTCATTGGCTTCCAGAATAAAAACAACAGCCTTACATAAGAACTTGAAGTAGTAAAGACTAAAAACATCGAAGAAACCGATTTAGCTGAATTTGATCTGTACGGTAGGAGAATCAACCTGAAGATACATGGCTTGCCATCCGATGAAAATGACAGCACATGATAACTACAGTTGATAAGTATGACATACATAATTAGTTGACTTTGCCAGGCTACTTTTACCACCTCAGGTGAGGGACACACTGTGCAAAGAAGCACTCATAAGAGAAGCAATGGAAAGTAATGGGTGGAAAATAGAACTTTAGATCTGATAAAGGGGAGAGACTGAACTCAGATCTCATGGTCTATGAATCATGAAAAACAAAGACAACAAAATACAATCCACACGGAAATATAAAATAATAGAATGTACACCATAAAACAATTTTTAAAAATATTTCTTTTCGAGTTTTGTATTTATGCTGCCAATTACTATGTTTTAAGTGCTGCCACAAACCGCCTTAAGAATAGTAGATTAAGATTTTTTTTTTCTAAATTAAGGGGACAAATGTTAAAGTTTGTTTGTTACTTTTGTGCATCAACTGGGTCTCGTCAAGTTTTTTTAAACTTTGCGAGGCTAAGCTGTTGTTATATCCTAATCTTAAATCAATATATTTGAATTGGAGAATAAATTAAATGACTTGGACCAGTGAACAGCCTTGATGTTGACTTAGGATTAAAACTATTGACTGATAAAAGTTGTTGGATCATGGATGGATGGTGCTGTTAGGATGGTTTGAATCTATAATCATTTTAGAGGCATATCCAATTTAAAAATAATTTTTTTTTTTACATTCATAAAGTGAAAAGAGGGTGTCTATAAAGTATGTGTAAGACAAAGGAATCTGTGGATTTACATTTCTAGTACTTTCAAATATATTTCCATACAACTGATACCTAAGCTAATTTCTGTGGATTACTTGGATCCAATTCTACAAGGGTTTTGCATTTCTTGGGATTTTCACCAAAGCACAAGGACGAATTCAGTCATCCGGTTCCTATACTCAACATAAAAACGTACATCTGTAAATTAAGGTCTTCAAGCTCATATTACGATCAAGTAAGCTAGTTCCAGTCTGAAATAACTGTGTACTTTACTTTATTTTATCCACTAATATTCTTGCCGGTTCCCACTCCTCTGTAATGATTAGACTTGTCATAGCCAAAATTATGAGAAGGAAATTCTACACTGTCGAAAATTCATGTTCTGTGATTTTTTTCTGCGGTCTAACTCATCAACCATCAACCACAACTAAAGTGCATCGACAGTGATGGACCTTAGGCTCGTTTCACACCTACCCGGCTTCTACCCGGCATGCCGTTAACCCGACTTCTAGCCGGCACCGGCACGAGTGCACCTTTCACATTACGCCGACACCGGCACTCCGGCAGTTGTACTCAAAAGCTTGTGAAACTTGTGTGTCGTAGGGATGGAAATAGAACGTAATAGAGCAATTGTAATGTTAGGTACTTTGAAATAACTTTATTGCAATTGTATTTATATTTGATTTTTTTTTCATTTGGTTCAGTTTGAATTTGAGTAAAATTTAATTCAATATTATGTAATAAAATAAAATCAAAAAATCAAAAAATAAATTGAGTAAAAATTCTATTTAATTCAAATAATTCTGCTCTTGAACTAAATTAATAAGTAGTTCATGGTCTATTCATGGCCATGACCAAAATTTTGCGAACAAATACCCAAAATTAATACACATTAACTACAAAGAACTGAACTAAAAGTACTCTTGGTGCACCCGACAGCAGCAGGTGCCGGTTGTATGTGAACAGTCACATTGGGCCGCTATACCCACTGTAGTAGCCGGCTTGTTTACCCGGCACCGGCAGCCGGCCTTCGCCGAGGGGGCACCCGGCATCCCTCGACTAGTACCCGGCAGCCGGGCAAGTGATTAACCGGTCACGACACATGCCGTGCATGTGTGAACGGTGCCATATACTTCTTCACCCCATTGCCGGTTAAACGACACCCGGCACCCGGCAGCCGGGTAGATGTGAAACAGGCCTTATTTGTTCAAACCCTCATATTTAATATAGTATACAAATAAATGGTATTCAAGTTTCTTTTTCCTACTTAACTGTTTTTCCACAGAGAGTTACAATCAAGAATGCCGCACGGGAACTTCAGTGCTGAACCATTCAGCTCTGGCATATAGCAGCCTGTATGGAAACACAGGGGCCGGCTCGGTGGGACAATACTACGACATGCCCATCACGAAGAACGAAGGAAACGACATCCACGCAGAAAACCAACAACCTCACATAGTCAGTTTGGCCAGCACCAAGGCGGAGCGGCCTAGTGTTGTATCCATCGTCTCGTAAAGAACACAAAGCGTAGCTTGAGAGATGTTCAAACATTTCACCCGATCTTGAAATATGACTTGATAAACACAAAGTCATTAAATAATTATATATTAAATTATATATGTTCTCTTATAACATCTCTACAAGAAAATGGATCTCTTAGAGGTAATAATAGTCTTGTGGGATGATGATAGAAGTCTTCAGACGTAAACCTCTTTCGAGATTTTAGGATTGGGTGAAAGGGTTTTACACCAGATTTTATTTAGAGATAAAAATATCTCTAACCCACAAAGTGATTGCTTGTTTTTTACTTAATGCTTATAGATTTATGTCTATAAAACTATAAATTAAATGTACGAATATTGTACAATTTCTTATTTAGCTTTCAATTGTGTTTGACTATAGATTTCATGAGAAAGAAATTGGTTAAACATCCATACATTAACTAAATTAACTTTAGCATGAATTTTGTAAACTATATATGAAGCTTTGCAATAATATTTATAACTTCTTCATCAGCAATAATATTTAATATATAATTTAATAAGGGTTTAATCCCCTCAACATTTTAAATTTATTACTTAGAATGTCAAATTGATTTTTAAATATATTATTTTGTTGTAATAATATTCGTTTTTCCGCTATTGCTGATTCTTAGAAAAGTCAAACTGAATTCAAAATGATGATGAAAAACTATTTACGTACAATTAAAAAAGTGAATAAACGATATCCACTTCATCGAGAATATTGTGAATAGCAAATATTCACACCACTCCTGTATGATTTTGAATAGCTGTTATTCAGTTCAGACTGAAGAACGTTTTCTTCAGTAGGAGTTATTTACCTTTGTGTAGAAAGGTTTAGTTTTTTTTTCATTATCGTTGGTGATTTTTATTTATATAAGTTCATGTAAATAGTTTATTGGATCTATACCACCTAGACTGATATATTAAATATACGTTTTGTAATATAATATGAACAAAGTAGGTGTACATATTGTAAAAATCTTTTAAAAATTTATATTTAACGTTACCGAAATGTGACCAAAGTCATTTGAGTCAACTGTTTGGTTTTAGTGTTGAAAAGACATTTTGATAAGTTTTATTATTTTTGTAGTTTAGTTATTTTAGTTTGTAGACGTTGAAATGTGATTGACCAACTCATTCCATATTGCTATGAGGTAAGACTAGAAGCAACAATCGCAAACAAACTTGTTAATTTAGTTACATCTCGTATATAAATGCTTAAGACAAATTTTAATTTATGTCTTATGATCTCACAGTGTTGCACATTTCCTTCGATTTCTTGGATCATTAATGATTTGTCATTTATCAAGTATAAATCTCAAATAGGATTAATAATTTTTTTAGTTAGGGAATCCTTTACGTTTATAGATGTACTGTAGAAAGATGATTCCATATTTACATTCCAAGGTTTAGCTTCAGATATGCTATATTTTTGGTACTGAGTCTTGTAAGAATATTGTATATTTTGGATTCTCAAATTTGTCCCAGTGAAGACTGCTAGATGCCAAATAAATTGAGGCAATTTATGGCATAGACCAAAATTATTTGATCTTTAAGGATATTTATACAAGGTGTGCTGTTGAAATCGGTATAAATTATTTCATATGTAGGTTTTTAGGTTCCAAAAGTTAACAAATATTTGTTGAACAATTAATTTTTATACTGATAATTTTATTTTAGCATTATTTTGCTTGAGTTTTAAGAAAAACAACTACAATGTTGTTTTAATAATTTATTATTTCCATAATTTAATTTGAATTTTCATATTTTACCATTTCCCATCAATAATGACATTTATTTATCTTGATAAAATATTTTTTAGAACTTGAATTACAATATCGCATTTTATATAGTTAAAACCTAATATTTAAAAACCGGAAAACAAGACTTTTATATAATTCAATTTAGAATCGTTGTTCAACATGCTTATTTACAATATTTACTTTTGCCTGATACTAAATTATGTTTATGCACACCTTGTATTTAACCAGTTGTGTGTGTACACCTTTTACATTTACGCACAATATTGTATAGCATTGTGTATCTAGTTTAAACAGGCCCACGTGGCAAAAGCGAGTGCTCTAGTTAATTCATATTTTCACCCCGATTGGCTGGGGAAAGTTTGATGTATATTTATTTCTTTGTAAATTGTTATTACCTAATTTAGTTTCATTTTACAAAACTCGTTGTTTTGTTTTATCTTTGTAGAATACTGTCAAAGGAAAAATATACAATATTGAAAAAGTTTTTGTTTTCATTCCTGTGTTGTTTTATTATTTGAAGTTATTTTAGGAAAGATTTTATGAGAAGTGGTATGGGAGGGAAGATGTGGTGCAAGTATTGGTGAGAAAAATGTCACAGAAGAGAAAAATAATGTTGAAAAGTTGAAAATATTTGTCAGAAGATTAATACTGGTGATAAAATTACTATACTGAAGCAAAATTATAGTCTAGATATTGTAAATATATTTTTTTTAGATCCATGCTAAATTTGGTTACCAGGAATTTTTCAAGGGCAACAGCACACAAGTAGACTTCTCAGCCCATTGGAAAAATGCTTAACTCTTATTTTGTGTCTACTTCAAGTTTGTGACACCTGGGCCCTAGTGTCAATGAAATTTTGTTTATTTTATTCTAGGAATGATTTGATATTTTTTGCTTTGGTTATTAAACTAGGGGTTAAGTTATTGTTTATGATTAGATTGTTTTATTTGGTTAAACAAGTTTTTTTTAATAGCTGAAATAACAAGAAACTAATTGCAACAAAAACTTGATCATATAACAATAAAATTGGCTTCAGCTGATCCATAAGGATGACAAATCTACTAAGGGTGTATGTTTAACTATGGTATCAGTTAATTATAACAAATGAATTAGCTACCCTTAACCATAGATTAAACATACAGTACTCCCTTAGTATATTTGATCATCCCTTTGTATTAGCTGAAGACAATTTAAATGTTATTTCCGTCTAATGTTATTTCAGTTATTTAAAACGTCGGTTAACCAAATAAAACGATCAATTAAAAAATACATAGCTCGTCCCCTAGTCATATAACCAGAATGCTCAAATCATAAAATCAAAAGTAAAATAATAGAAACAAAATGTTGTCGACACTAGCGCTCAGTGTCACCAGACATGAACTAGATGTGGAAACAAACTTTAGATTTTACAGTAGTACTGTCTTAAGATCTATTAACTACAATACATTAATTTGACTTTTAGATACTGTTATGTAGATCCAATACATGTTCAAAAATGATGTACATGTAAACGATTTTATTTACTAAAGAAGATCTTACTTGAGTGAGCCACTCATAGATTGCAGTGCAGTATTAAACTATATTTTCTCTGTTTGCTTTTGAGTCTGTGAGAATTGAAGTGAGTATTGTATAGCTGACAATAAGTGGTACTTCAAGTTTGATTTCGTAGAGAAATCAGTAATTTATATCAGTGCACTCAAAGACACAATTTATTTAACTCATTATTATTCTATATTTGGCTACAACTTTAACATTAGATGCATACTACCAGAGCTCCATTTGTAAAAGGTTAGGTGCTGAAATGGTCTATTTTACCCACGACCGTTTTATAATGTAGCAGTTTCAGTTCAGTTTTTTTTATTTTTTTATTGAAAAGTTTCTCATAACAGCATTGTTTATTTTCTTAACAGCATAGTTTTACTCATAACAACACAGCAAACGGACCAATGATGATTGAGATTAATGAAAAAAATTATTGAGCGAAGCTTACTTTCCCTTACTTTGTAACTTCTTTGTAAGAGCATCAGAATGTAATACCTAATGTAAATTCGGCCAACAGCTAAAGAATACTGAGCACAATGTTTAGGTAAAAAATATTTGCAAATTTCCTTCTGGATTTTATTTTACGGGTCACGCAAATTCGCTTGTTATTTTAATGTAAGTTGAAAGACAAATAATTATATTGGGTTTATGCCATATGGGTTTATCTCATTTCATTTAAATGAGATAAACATATGTTAATTGTTTGTAACTGTTTTGTTTACATTTCAATGTTTACTTTCATCCTAGGTTAAAGTTGGAATGTAACAGTTTATCAATTGAAGTAACAGTTTTGCTACATTTGTTTTGAGCATGCCTCAAAGGAACGTCGTAATATTGGTCGTCGCACCAATAATGCAAATATTGTAAAAGAGTGGTGTCGTGAATAAGAAGAACTAGATGAAGCAGTGGCGGAAGAAGCTGATAATAATATCGGGCAAACAAACGGTGAATCTGTTGAAAGGGAACATATTGTAGGTTGTTAGCTGGTTTAGCCATTGACAATTTTAATGCTTCGCTCATTTATGCGTCTAAAGTGTAACGGCAGACCACCCTAGTTACGTTGATTTTTGATTAAAAAATTGATTGGGATTGAGAGAGAAGAAGTACAATTGTAATGATTCGAACTTCAACTAATCAGCTGTTCAGGCCAATTTAATTGTTGAGTGGTGCAATTGTTTGGTATGATGTTTCGTTGCATCACTGTCGGTGGCAATGGGAGGTTATAAACTAAAACATAACCTCTCTTGGAAGTTATGAGTAGTGATTGTTAGTAATTAAACACTGTCGTAGGTAAAGTAGCGTGCGCAACTCGCGTAAATATTGAATTGTTGAATGTTGAATTGTTGTTTAAGTTAACAATTAACCCTCGTATGTTAACAGTCTATGTGGACGGGTAAATGCAAGGTTAAAATAGACCGCCAACCTCTTTAAAAAATCTTCGTAGAGGTTTAAAAAAAGTTTAAATTGTCTACTCGTCTCTAATCTTCATTCATACTTGGCTTAAAATACCTACTTTGTATGGTCGCCATTTCACTGTAAAGAAGCTATTAAATTTAACACTATCTTTAAACTATCGTTGCGTAAACTACTATAAAATTAGGGTTACAAACGTTTGCCCCTTATAACACAACAACAGCCAGTTTCCACATCAACCCTCGTGTAGAGCATTACAAAATTATTTTGTACATTGAAGTGTTGTACGAGGATACAGAGAAAATTAGAGAAACTGTAAATATTTGTCTTATTATTTTCATGGATAAGAAGTAAATGTTGTAGTTTTGCTTGTTTATGGGTAGCTTTTTATCAAATTTTATTGGTTTTAAACTGTACTATTAACATAAAAACCCCCTTTCCTTCCATGTAGCATCAAACCTAATTATTCGTTTAAAATTATGCCATAGGGAACAAATAATGTGACATGTTAAAGAAAGTCCTTGTGAAAATCCAATCAGATTGAAACTAACTTGGTCTGCAGTTTTCTGCGGCGGGGGGTTTTGCGTCATCAAATTCTCTAAAACCGAATTGCGTGCAGCTTTCATGGCAAGGTCACAATAAAACCTTTGACTATTAATTGATATAACTTCAGTATCCAATTGTCAATTTTATTCTAATATATCA